TTTGTTTCTCGGGCAATGCGAGTGCCTTGTGATATACTTGACATATGCTATTCTTTTGTAGCTGCTCGCCTAATCTTGTGAATCACCAAGTTCTTGTGGAAAGCATGGATAGTTTGCGTGCACATATTGGTCTCTATGCGAATCAAGATGTAAGCACTCTCATTTCTTCTCGTAGAATGATTTTATTTGTGCATGACGCATTAGTAATTATCTCAGAAATTAAGATTGAGAGTGTTGTGATGGTTACATGGTCAGTTGCTAAGTTATCCTTGCTATTGGTATACTCAACGGTCAATTGACGATGGCATTTGATGTACAATTGATGATGGCTCTCTGCAACTGATATGCATTACTGTGCTTAAAGTGACTACTGTTATTCTTGATAATTCTACTGTATGTGAGCAGATAGCGTTGGGGGAAGAAATAACATATGACTATCGATATAAACATCTTCCTGGAGAAGGACATCCATGCCATTGTGGAGCTTCCATGTGCCGGGGGCGACTCTATTAAGCCTTGAATGAGAATAATCTCCTGCAATCTCAGCATACGCTTGACCGCGCTTCAATAATGAAAAGGCAGTTTGTGAAAATAGAATAATCTCCGCGTCTCCCAGTGGTGAGTTCTCAGTCATTGCCGTTTATGATCCAACCGTTGATAATAAAACGGATCTTGGATCCAGCTGAAAGTAAAATTGACTGAGTCGTAACAGTGACACAAGGGTTTATTCAGCTTTGGATCTGCTGCTAATTGCAATACATTGTGTGATCTTTTCAGCAGGTAGATTTTACCAATGTTTGTTCTTTAGTGATTCGTTGAAGAATCGAGGATGACAAACTTCATCGTTTCCCTTTGTTTCAGTTTTCTTTTTCACTTTCGCTGATCCTGTAGCAGCTTTGGATTAGCTAACTGTGGATGGATTTTCTTTTTTCTGGTAGAAGTTATTGGTTTTGTAGTGATGGAATGCTTAAACGGTCAATTCTTATATATTTCCTATTTGTTGAAATTATTTTTTCTCACCCAGCTTCTTCGATTGTACTTTCTCCCAGAGTTCTTGATTCTTTTACTGCAGTTTTCATACTGTATTGTTCTCATGCGATAACATATAAGAATATGATTTGGCGTGAGAGCGAGAGATGCAAATTTGAGATGTAAAAACTACATTTACATTTCGCTTCTGTTAGCTAGCGCTGCAGTTATGATGTTTTTGACTTGTTTAGGATTGCTTTTTTTCTTTTTCTTAGCGCTTTTACTCCCAAGTGCTATTATATATACAAATTGAATATTTTGTTAAAAATCCTAGTGCTTCCTGAAGAAGCATATGTGCATCAGTGCATGTGTTTTTCTTGACGGTTAGAAGCAATCCCAAACAGACCCTTAAACATCGATGCCAATGAAGTGGAAAATCATTTTAACTGTTTAATTATGCATTCAGTTACATGTTTCGAATCTGCCATGGTTATCGCTTCTGCTAAAGAAAACAGGCAAAAACATGGCATTGGCTGCTTGCTCTTTTCCTGAACAGACAAAAAAAAGGACAAAATCACCAACAAAGATTCCATGTAGTTTCATGCTTTAATGCATTGTTTCTGTGTATGGTATCACATCTTCATTTCAACCTTCTAGGACCACAAAAAAGACAAAGGGGAGTCCAAAGCTAAATCCCACCAAAACTGCTATTCCTGTTTAAATCACAAATCCACCAAACCAACCACCACGTGTGGTTTCCGGTTTCCCCAAAAAAAAAAAAAAAAAAAAAAAAAACCCATGATTAAGTAATTCGTCCCTTAAGCTTTGAAGTCATGCTGAAGCCCTCTAATTAATAAAGATCTCAGCTCTTGGCCATGTAAGTTCAGATATTTTTTTCAGTAAGTTCTACCATACACATGCCCGGTGCATTGGACGATTAAATTTACATGGTTGAATTTTGACAGTTTTAATCTAGTCATTCAAACACCGATGCATCTCATTCACAACGTATTATAGAAAAGTGCTTTTTTTTTTTTTTTATTTTTAATCACCAACACAAGGGAACTTAAGATACATTATGCTCTGTTTGTTAACCTTTCCATCGTCAGCAGCATGCATGCAGCTGGACCTTTTCCCTCATTAGGTATTAGGTATAAGACTTTCATCTCACACAAATTAGCTTTAGTTGTTAATTGGTTAATTTACAGCTCGACACCGATCAAATTCAAACCCACCACATGATTAGCCATATTCCATGGTGGGCTCAACTTACAGCAAGGCCATCTTCCATGGAATTTCTTTTGGTACCACCATTGATCATGAAAACGTGCGCTCACTTTCTTCCATTTTCGCATTATTTGTAAACTCCCCTGATCCTCGCCAAGCAGAGAGCTTTGGGTTGCACCATTTTTTTTTTTTTTTTTTTTACTCTAGCATTGCATGCATGATATCTATGTATACAACACACACACACACACACACACAAACATATATGCTAGAATGCACAGTTGACAACACACTCCATAGCTTTTTCTTTTTGATAATTACAAAAACCTAAAAGAAATAAAAAGGGTCAAAATTAAGTCAAAAGATTTTCAATTTTTGTTTGCATATTTGTGGGGGCTCCTTGTCAAATATTTCTTATGTGATTCTTATGTGAATATGTGCCACTTGATTGTGATTCTTATGATGATCCATATCCCACTCTTTTTATAAAGTAAATAGCAACAGCATAAAAGCAAAGAACAAAAGTAAACTAGGTACATTGTTATGGAACATAAAGAAGAAAAGGAAATTCCCGTGGGGCACATTTGAATTATGGTCCTTCATTTCCCTAAACATGTACTAAAATGGGCCACCATTAGTTTTAATAAAGAATAAAATTAGGTTTTATTTTAAATTTGCAAATCAATTCATCTATGCGAGATTGCAACGAGTTTGTAGCTAAATTGTTAAAGAGTTTCATTTCATGTACTAGAGAAAAACTTACATACAACATGTTTGTTCTCTAGCTTGGTGTCTTGATTCAATAATGAAATGTTATATAGAGATAAACATAGCATACATTTTAATCAATCAAGACGCACAATAAGAGTGAACTTATTTTATAAAGTCCTTTCTTTTGCACTAATGCCCTGAGTTAGATTCTCCCTTTCATAATATTGTTTGTAACAAAGAAAACAAAAACTATTAGTGAGAGACAATGCGGTTCGAAAGAGAAATGCTAAAGAGATTCTTTCAAAGCAAGTCCATCGGAAGACAATCTCCTAGGCCATTGGGTAATCCAATCCCCCAATCTCTCAAAAAGTGCTCTAGCCCTACCCGATTAATTGGGTTCCAGGGGAGCCCGACACACAACCCAGGCCCAAATTGCCTGACCCAGTGATTGGGGGGAATGACGTCAGGTTGTCGCTAGCCACATTATTATATTTTTTTTTTGCTTCAGGCATGTGTGGTTCACGCGCAACTTCAGACACGTGCGTCAGCCACATTAATAATTTTTTTTTTTTTTTTGGATTTGCACAATGTTTCTACCTACGGTCCAGATTTTTCTAGCAAAAATAAAATAAAAATAAAAAGAAAAAGAAAAAGAAAAATTTGAAACAATATAATTTTACTTTTGGGCCACATGGCACAATATGGGCTATTGGAGTACAAAATAAGGTAATCCAACGGTCCACTTTAATTAGGTTGATAAAAATGATTAAAAATACAGAAAAATAATTCAGTGGCGTTACTGGGCAATTTACAAAAATTGTACTTTAAGATAATAACACGTGGCGTGACGAGATTGGTTAAAATCATATCCGAAATTACAAATAAAATTATCTTTTTTTTTAATATTTTAATACTCATGGCATAGGGTATACAATTTAGAAGTGGAGATGCATTTAAACATTTATTGTAACTAAAGACAATTACTATGCGGTTGGGGCATTGGGTTGCCTATAGGTATAGCCCATAGTGTATTTTAGGGGTGGAGTATCTCTCAAAGTGGGACTCCTTCGTGTACTCTCTGCTACATAACAGTTTAACATCAATTATTGTGTCAACATTATAAAATATTATGCCAAAAACATAAAGTGATAGAAAATTCATGAATAGTCTTATTTTTAAGAAAGTCTTCTTAACATTTCTCGAAATCTTTATTATGGGTTATGTGTTGGCAACTTGGAATAAGGAATTGGTTTCAGAATCTGATTTTATAGGCAACCTATTTTATACTTCAAGCTATCGTATAAATAAACCTTGAGTTTGTATTGGAATTCGCTTTTCGGAATTAATTATATATTTATTAAACTTGGCTTTCCGAGGTTTCGTAAGTCAATTATTGACTAGTGTCATGTGGGACGGTTCAATTTACATCAACTTAAAACCTCGTTATGGCAATCTCTTTTTATTTGATTTCGTTTCTTTTTTATATGATACATATTTCATTCTATATTTTCTTTAAAATCATTAAACTCTTTTTATATTACAAACGATTTTTATACTAAAAAGTCATCTAAACTATAGTAATGTAGATGATTCAAATTTGAGTAAATGTTGAGCCATTTGTACAAATAAAAGAATACATAAAGTTAAACATAAAAACATAAGAAGTAGAAAATTTTCATTAAAATTGTTTGTTTGGAAATTTTTCAAAAAATAAATCGTAAATAAAATAGTAGTCAAACAAAGTCAACTAAACTCAAGTCATCAGTCACTGAACTTTCATTTTTTATGTAACATTTGGCAAACATGTGCTCTTTTTAGGAAAGAGATTTTCTCCGGAGCCCTTCCATCAAGCAATCCGGATCCTTAAAATTTAATTCAACAACTACAAACAATGATCCACTTTATAAGTTATAATAATTTTAATTGTTGAATTAAATTTTAAAGGTTTGAATTGTTTAATAAGTAAGACTTGATGGAAGGGACCTAGTACCCTCTTTTCACCTTTAGTCAAAGATCAATTTGGCAGATACAAATTTCAAAGATCCACTTCAGTCTTTGGATCAATGTACACATCAACTCAACAAGAAAGCGATGCTCCTGACAAAGAAATATATTCACATTAATAACTTTTGTAATAAGAATATTATTTTATTTAACATAAGAGAAATTGTTATAGGCATTTCATAAATTCAAAAAGCCTATAAAATCCAGCAACGTTCCACTTCCAACAAAGCCAGCACAAGGAACAATATTGAACAGAGAAAAAGTTGCAGCCAAAAAAATAAAGAACACAGAAAAGAGTAATAGAAAAATGATGAGAGACAAGTGTAAGGCATGCCTGTTTGGTTACTGAGAAAGTATTTTCTAGATAGAGGGGAGAGAGAGAGAGAGAGAGAGAGAGAGAGAACATCTGCATCTGCATTTGCAGCAGAGAGATAATCATCATCAAAAGTATAGCCTGTTGAAGTATAAAAACACAACCCATGAACCATCAATCTCTGCAGGTTTCTACTTTTCTTCTTTTTCTTTTTGTTTTTCTTTCTATTATATTTTTTTTATTCCTTTTGGGTTGTGGGCTTTCTTAGCTTTACTAATTAAAGGCTCTCTATTACTAATCATTCCTCCCTGCAACTATCTGTTCACTGGTTCCCTTGATGCTTGACACCGAGAGCTCCCATTCATTCACTTTAAAAATAAATATTCAGAGGGCTCTCAGATTAACCAGTTCTTGGTGAGTTCTCTCTTTTGGGTTTCAAATTCTTTTCAAATTGGGGGAAAAAAAATCCATCTTTATTCCATTTTGTTAATTGTTTGTGGGTTTTTGTGTTGGATTTGATCTGTGGTTTCTGTGCTTTTGAATCCGTTTAGTGCCCTCAAACTTTGTTCTTACTTTTCTGCTGTTTAATTCTTAAAAAGATTGCATCTTTTGTTTTTTTTTTTTTTTTTTCCAGAGAAATCGCTGGCTGGGTCGGTTCAGTTTTCACTGAAATGCAATTCTTGCTGTGGAGTAAGTGATTTCTCAGTTTAGGGTTCTTAGCATCAACCTCGAAGTCTCACCTTTGTACCTTTCATGCTTGTGAGTTTACATTGTAATTAGATCCTTTTGAAGAGGAAGAGAGTTTTGGTTCCAAAACTTTGTATTGGGGATTTACAGCAATGTGCTAACTGTAATTGCTGTAAGTTCTTGTGAAATATGGCTGAAATTAGACTTAAGAGGGTAGAACAAGGCCAAGTCAAGATTAGAAATGTCCCAATTGCCGTGACGCCGGAAGGTTTTTGGTGCTGCCCTTCTCCTGTTGTGTTTCAAAAGAACCTAAAAGCTCACAATTCCATGCACAAACCGAAGCCCTCATCACCACCACCACCACCACCCAAGGAAGCAGCTCACAGAAAACAAACCCCACTGAGTGAGAAAGAGCTAGCCTTTATCCCGTCGAGATCAGCGAGTATTTCTGATGGTCTACGGGGTGTTGGTCCTGAGGCGCCGGATGCGACGGTGGTTAGTGCATCTATGGTTCCGGAGAGAGTGCCCAGGCCCAAAGTTGAAAATTTGCCTAGGAAGGTAGCAATTGAGTTTGGTGATCCTGGAACTAGTGATATGAAGGTGGTTTTACTTGGAAAGCAGGGATTTTGCGTGAAGTTGAGCGTTCACAAGAATGTTCTTGTTGAGCATAGCAACTTTTTTGCTGATAAACTTTCTGAACAACAGCCTGGTTCAACTTGTCTTAACATGGAAGATTGTGATGATGTTGAAATATATGTTGAAACCGTTGGATTGATGTATTGCAAAGACATGAGGCAACGGCTTGATGAAACAAAGTGTCTCGCGTGTACTCCGCATTCTAAAGGTAATACGCTGAACTGTGTAATGCATGATTTATCTCACTTCTGTGGATTGCAAAATTGCTGTTTTTATTGTTGGTTATGCGTTAATGCCAGATACAAAACCAATTACCTCAGTCTTTCTGCTACTGCTCTTCATTATTTTGATATATTTTGCGTTGGTTATACTTTTCATACTCTTATGTGTATTACTTTTAGGAGCTCCAGCCGTCGGGTGGAATCACCAAATCCCTCCTGTTTCGGATATATACTTGTTACAAATTTTCATGTCACTTATAATATTAATTAATACAGAGTGTATATGACGGACATGGAGTTGATATAAGCTTTATTGCACTGTACTGTGGCTTATCATTTAATCATATTGTAGAAATCTTTCTCCCTTTTATTAAGAGAAATAATAACCATACACCCTTTTTCTACCCCTACCAATGTTTTAAAAGGCTTGCCTCTGTTTTGAGGGAGTGGGTGGAAGGCGTCGCTGGAGCCACCTAAGCGCGCCTCAGGGGATTTTTTTTATATTTCCCAAACCCAAATTTTGGGTAGGGTGTTAACTGCTTCATGCCTCTTCCTTGCACAATCATCTCTTTGCCTTTTTTTTTTTCTAATTTTTATTTTTTTATATAATGGATGTGTGTGCTGTCTGCATGCATTGTTATGTGTGCTCATTGTGCTTTTCATCCTCTATTATATATATAATATATGTATATATATGTGTGTATATGTATTTATAATATATGTGTGTGCTCAAGGTGATTATTGATTAATAATCTTTTTTTTTAATGTAATATATGTGTACGCTCAGTGTATATATTAAAAAATTTAGGTTCCGTGAGGCTTCGCCCACACCTCATGCTTTTAATACATTGACCCCTACACACCCGTGTTTATTCCTATCTACTATTTCCATTTGATTTATTCAATTCGATAGCCAGAAATAAAAGGGGGTGTGTAGGAGGAGAAGAGGGGTGTGCCTTTACTAATGCCTTTACTAATGCCTCCACATGTTGATTCTTTATATCATGATGCTTCTTTATCTGTTGTTTTGTTCTCCGTCCAATTGGATTTTGGCAGGTCATTTTGGTATTCTCTTTAAATGACTATCCTTCTGGTTAACAAATAGAATGAAAAAGAATAAGAGGAAAGCGAACAGAGATTCACTTATTAGGGTTAGAAAGCATGTTTATTGCACGAGAAATGTGTACATATGCACCTCATACAAAGCTGTATATATTTGTTCAATGTTAAAAAACATGACCTTCTCTGAGAAAGTCGAGGGATATACGCTCATCAGGCTTCTTTTGTAGTTAACTTGAGTAATATCTATCCGCACATAATTTTCCATGCACGAGAATTGTTTTTTAAACATGTTTAGACAGAAAAAAGGTGCTTCATCCCTGCACAGTGGTGATTAGGTAGATTTTGTAAGTGGCCTTTGCAAACTGTTTGGTTATATCGAATCTAAAATGTGGTTGGTCACTATCGTGTGATATTTTTTTAGCTTAGGATTGTGGCATCTTCCATTTCAGCACCCTATATCCATTTTGAGATGCAGATTGATTGTTTTATCTGAATGGCCCTTCTTAATCATATGTGATTAGCTAGAAAGTTTGGCTTCGTTAAGTTCATCGATAGGGATCAAATTGCTCCATGTTTTGGAGCGTTCATTAAGTTCATTTAGCCTATGGCCGCTGATACTAATAGGGTTTATTTTTGACATCAGATTTGATTGTTGTTAAGATGGTTCGAAAAGTGGGTAAATGAACTCTTATAATGCAAAGAAGTAGAATCGTTTAGATTATCATATACCGTCATTCGGTAGGTTTTGTATATCTCTCGTCAGCTTACCTGTATTTTCATTTTTCATCTTGCCTCCCTATATACCATCTGTATGTCATAATTTAATCTGAATACACCGAAACCTAACCTGAATCTTAATGGCACCTTCTTTCAGATTGCAGAACTACTTGGCTTCAACTCGTGCATGCAGTCATGTTTAGAGTACTTGGAAGCAGTCCCGTGGGTTGGGGACGAGGAAGAAGAAAAAGTTGTCTCGTCAGTCTTGCGACTCCAAAGTGAGGGTATTGGGGTCACTCCTGTACTGAAACGAGTCTCGTCCGACGTTTCTAAACCCCAAAAGGACACACTTTCCCACATAATTGGACTTGTTCTTGCAAGCAATGAGGAGAGAGGCAGGCGTGAAATGAAATCCGTAGTGCTCAAGCTCCTTAAGGAGAACAACAGTGCCTCAAGCTCTCAAGGTTCAGCTAACGTCTGCAATGAAACACTATATAACTCGTGCAGAAGCTGTGTGAACTTGCTGTTGTCCCTATTCAAGCACGCTGCAGAGCCAGAGTCTTCTGATAAACCTGTCGACAACAAAGAACCTGTGGTGAAGCAAATAGCTTTGGCAGCTGATAACCTCTCATGGTTGCTTGAGATTTTGGCTGACAAGCAAGCCGCAGACGAATTTGCAGTAATGTGGGCTAGCCAGCAAGAATTGGCAGCCTTACATACGAAGCTGCCTATTGTATCTCGTTACCATGTTAGCTGTATCACAGCAAGGCTGTTTGTTGGCATTGGTAGAGGGGAGCTGCTGCCATCTAAGGATACCCGTCTGCTGTTGTTACAAACCTGGCTGCAGCCATTGATTGACGACTACAACTGGCTGCAACATGGGTGCCGGTCATTTGACAGAAAGGTTGTTGAAGAAGGAATTGGTAGGACAATCCTCACTCTGCCTCTAGAGGACCAGCAAAGTATTATGCTTTCTTGGTTGGGAAGTTTTCTCAAGGCTGGCGACAGCTGCCCGAATCTTCAGAGGGCGTTTGAAGTGTGGTGGAGGAGAACTTTCGTTAGACCATACATGGAAGGACAAGGTAGTTCCGCCCAGTAAGATAGCTCATTGACCTCACAGTAGACGTAAAGACTACAGAAATACTGTAACCAGTGGGAGTAATGTTTGTAAAATTAGTGGTGTGCTCCATAGTATGTGGAAGAACAGAAGAAGGCTTGGAATATTTCTCATTTTCTGAAGGCTAACATGACATATTTATGTGTGAAGTCAAAAGAGTGAAGTACTGGAGGATTTTTGAGAAATTCCTGGAAGTGAACTGCTTTATGTGATGTAAGAAACTGCTTTTGTATTGGTGATGTGATGTGGGTTGATTGTTTCATGTGGAAATTGTTGAAAGATAAGAGTTACTTGGACTTGTTGCCTCATGTGATCATGTATAATGTACCAAGTTTAATATTATCAAGGGCTTTAGATTATTTATAAATTTCAAGGTCGGTGATATTAAACCAATTGGTACTTTGTATGATCAAACCGCTTATTCTTCATTTCATTTTTAGAGGGAAGAATTATTTTTCGGGGATATGGTCGAACGGTTGATAGCTTCACTCTCGAAAACTGGTATAGTTTGAAACAAAGAACTATCGAGGGTTCTGTTCGTAAAATTTGTGAACAATATCAATTGATTCGTAAAATTTGGCCCATGAACTAAAGAATTTGTGAGTATTGGTTCCTTGAACTTATCACAACGTAGAGCAATAGTTTTTTGAAATAACACCCTTAGGCTAACTCCAACTCATCGCCTAAAACCTATAAAAAGCTAGATTTAGCCCAAGATTAGTGGTGGAGCCCCCACTCACATGGGTGTATCTCCCACTTGTCTACCAATAACATTGAGCCCAACGACTCTTTTGGTTGATCAACAACTCACATTCAAATGGGTTGTTGGTTATCTAACGGTTTACATTTAATTTAGTTAATATTTTTGTTTTATATTTATAAATTTATTGAATCCAACTATTAAAAGAATTATAAAAAATTATTTAACTCAAAATTCACCAAAAAACTCTATAAATACCTATATAATTGTTGAAACATCCACACAAAACTCACTTTTTATCTACAATTCTTCCAATTTGTCATTCTACCATCTTCCAAAACCATGTTTGCTCATGTGTCTTGTGTTTATACATCTCTATCATGTGTTTCATATTCTTCTATAGTGTTTCATGAGTTTAATGTGTCGGTTTAGTAATTTTTCAATATTTATCGGAATTTAAATATTTTTAGGTTAAAATATTCATTAAATAAATTTAGGATATAGTCTACATAATTTTTTTTTGAAAAGTTAATTTTAAAAAAAAATTAGCCTAAATTTATTCTTCAATAATCTGAGGCTAAAATTTTAGGCCGGAATGGTTGGAGCAGAAAATTTGTTTCTGGGTTAAAACCTAAATTTTCAAAGCTAAAAATTTTAGATTTTAGGGCAATGGTTGGAGATGGTCTTAGAACTTCTTCCCCCTTATTGGCCTTTTAAAGTCCTTTAGTTTGGATGTATGTTGTAATGGTGTTACTCCAAAAGACCATTACCTCATATTTATAACACATTCGACGACATCTGCACGGATTTTTAGTTCATTAATCCAAATTTCAATTAGGTCCTGAGAAGCCATATGCGTGATATGGCCCATTTGTTTATACACCTGATTTTGCTATTTTGCTGCTTTAGCCCATGAGAGGCCAGGTCTCAAAGATCAGTCTTTGTTAATTGACTCCCCCAGTTCTAATAGCCCACTATTCTAGTTCCATAAGCAATAATTCTAAATAAATATTTTGTATAAAACATATACGTGTTTCATGAGATTGAGCAAGCAAATGCTTATATGCACTGCAGAAAGTGCTCCATTAATTGATCATTTCCCACACACATGCTACTATGCATACTCATTTGGCACCAAACTTGACCAAAAAACAAAAATCTCAGCTAGTACTCAGATGTTCAGGTTTTCTTTTTCTTTCGTGTTTTGTTTCAAATAATAATAATAATAATAATAAAAAGAGAATTATAAGAAAAAGGTAATGCGAGAGGTGAATTTTTGCTATAGATGTGAAAGTAAGTGCTCTTTTTATCATTGAAGATATAAGTTCCCAGTTAAGTTGATTCAGTTGGTAAAGGCATGTTTGTGGTTAATCTTCAATCCAAGTTCGATCCCTGTAGTCAAATGTTTTCGTTGTTGCATTATCTGTAAATTCTTATGTAAATCCATATCAGTGGCAGCTGACAGTTAGATGCCAGACGTAAGTTCTTCTAACTTGAGGTTGTAGGTATAGTGGTATACCCTGCCGTTGGTGGTGAAAATAAGCCAATCTCCCCCTAACTTTTTGTTAAAAAAAAAAAAAAGATATCAGCCCCCACATGCAGTCAGTCCACAGAGAGATTTTTCAATGTGATCGGAACACGGAGTGGTACACCACGTGTCACTATACAAATGATGAGATATGTGTGTTAAAAAGTTAATAACTTAAATATTAAAATTTTTCACCACTTATATAAAAACAAGTAGTGTACCACTCGTGTTCTAGTAACAATGCAAAATTTCTTCAGTCCGTAGGTTTGCATGCATATAGAATTGACTTTTCCATGTAATGCAGTAAATTTCCAACTAAGAGACTTGCAATTTGTAGGACTACTTGGGGCTCCAGTACCTGTTGCATTTTGCAGGTAGTGCTAAAATGAAACTGCATGAACCATTAAACTTTTAACTTTCCCTTGGTATCAACTTACTATTACATATTGGGTTTAAGTTCATCATCTATCTATATATTCTACGAAGAACAATACTTAGCTGCTGAAAATTCAACAGCCACTTCTGTTTTTATCCAATTAAATTTGGACATGTGTCTAAATAATTAAAATTGTAAGCACAATTCCAAATCTGATTTGGTGAAAGCAGGGATGGCTGCTGAATTTTCAGCAGCCAAGGATTATTCTTCTACGAATGACTTGCAAACAAATTAACTCGTCAATACTGCTAAAGAGTAAAACCAGAGCAGGATTTCCGCACTCTCTTTTTTTTCTTCCATGCACTCATGTTTATTTGTAGTTTTGCATTATCTAAATCAAAAGAGGGTCACGAGACATAAATAAACATGAGTATACAGAAATCATTTCTCAAAAACATTTTTGTTCGGAACAATCAAATCAATCCAACTATTGAACCCAAAAATGAAAAACACTCATTTCAGCTTCCTCATCAATTACAGGGATCGATCTTAGGATATCATCGGGCTTTAAATGTTCAGAGAATTGTCTTATCTGATTCACCAGTGGTGGTACAAGAAAAACCCCATTGGATTCCTTATCGTCTAGTTGTAACCAAATAAAAATGGCACTGCTGCACCACAACAACGGCTGTGGTCCAAATACAGTACTGCTGGATCAGGATTGAATGTTCTCCTGTGATTTTCGAATCCTCTGTTCCAGGCCACCATATCATTCAAATTTAAAACAAACCCATTCACACCATAATTTCTCTAGCAATCAAGTTATTTTGCACTCCTTTGGGCTGAGGGAGTTACACTAGATTTCGAGTTCATTCATATATTGATGACATATCCTTAATTTTTCTTCATCTTTCATCACCCAATCAAAATTTTTATAAGTATTTTTTCTTTCGATAATGTTCTCTTATCAAGTTTATATTTGAAATCGGACAATCTACCATTTTAACGACCAAAATCTAGAAAGAGAAAGAGCCACTAAGAAAAAGCTAGGCAAACAAGAAAGAGGGAGAGGTTAGAAAGAGGAAAATTGTGTCTAGCATCTGGTAATCTAAGTCTTGCATTTTTTGGTTGGCTCGATCGTGTTAGCATGCGCTTTACTAATTATTCCTCCCATTCCTTTAGTCTTATTACTTGAATCTTAAGTCGCGGTCATGTCTCACTCTTAGTATAAGGATTGGTTTCATGTTTCTTCCCAAATCTTTCATTAGTTTCGGGCTCAATCAAACTAAAGCAAATATTTTCAATTATCAACAAGATTAATGGCTTATATTCACAGTATGACAACTTAACAACCTGACAAAAAAACATTTTCTCTATTTTTGTTAGGAAAATGATAATACACATATTTTCTCTTCTTATACACCTCTGCTTAATCACGTTCCTTGTTTTCCTTTGATTTAAAAGTAGATTTCAACCCAATTGCATTAGAATATTTTAGGGAAAACCCATTCATCTTTTGACTATCATTTAATGTTAAAAATTTACCAAAGTGAGTTTATGAGGTCAATTAATAGTTATGGTTCTCATCTGTCATGTTGTTTCATGCTTATTTTACCCTCTACAGTTTTTTTTTTATTTGGTCAACATCATTTTTATAATTTAATGTTATTTATGTGGAACAAATTAATTTTTGGGTTTAAAAGTTATTAGATTGGAGTCTTATATTTTGATGATGTGGATGTGTTTGATACTAAATATGTAGGTAATGTATTTTGGTTTGATACCAAATGTGTAGGTAATGTGGATTTATAAGTTTTGATACCTATTTCGGAGGTGATGTAGATAGGACTTGCTTACCTATTTATAAGGTTTCGATTAACTATGCATGCTAACTGCCTATGTATTGAGTGTTTTTAGGCTTTATATTTTGTTTTTTTCAAGAGAAATTTTATTGCACATAAACAATAGGGTTATGACTGACAAATTGTTTCTTATGGATTCAAGTCTTAATGGTGGCAATGATGAAAGCTTAAACATTCAAATGTATAATTAGCTAGACTAAATAATGCAATAATGCCTATGCACCATGGTGGAAATTCGATCTCCACCGATCTTCTTTCCCTAACATTTAACAATTTAACCCACTAACGCTATCGTTTGTAAAATAATAATAATAATAATAATGCATTTAATTAAGATTTTAAAATTTTTATTTTTATTTATCTAAAAGGGTATGAAATATAACTAATAAAACATTCAACCCTAACATACTCAATTCAATAGCCAACGAGGGTTGACTCGGTTAGTAAGGTCCTAGCCTTGTGTGGCACCCCACCAAGGTTTGAGTTTCACTGCCAGCAATTTTCGTTAGTGCGAAATCTGTAAATAAATCCATACTGATGGCAACTGGCAGTTAGGTGTCACTCGTAAGTCCTTCAAGCTTGAGGTTGTGGTCTGCCCTGGTGCTAGTGTTGAGAGTAACCAACCTCCCCCTAAATTTTTAGCAAACAAACAAAAATATTCAATTCAATAGACTTCAATTAGCAAAAGCAAGTGTGTAGGATACAAAGACAGTATGTGTTGAGATTGAATCACACATTGATGAAAGGAGAGACCTTGCATGTACTTATAAATAGTTGGGATACTCCTATATTGCCAATTGGTTTTATGGTCTCAAAACTTTCATAAGAGTAAGTTGTCCTATGTGTGAAGCCCAACGGCCACACGTGCTTCATATCACTTAATTCTCTTGTCTACATGTTAGGCTTAAAAATTCGCTACACGTGATAGGTCGTGTTGAGGATGAATCTCACTTTGATGAAAGAAGGGATTGCCACACATGAGGAGACGTATTGAGAATAAATCTCAAAATTGATGAAAGGATGGACTTTGTATGTTCTACTCCTCATACTACCAATTGATTTTATGGTGTAAGCTCAATTTTGTTCAACATTTTGTTATGATAGAGACATGCACACAAAGGTAATAATGGACCCAATCCCAAATTAAACTTAATTACGTGTCCAATCTCTCTATTTCCTAAGGTGCCCACATCCTAGTTTTTGGTTGGTGGCCAGTCCGATTTATCATCTCAGGTGGCAGATGAGTTGGACAAGTTACATCATTTAATTTCAATTTTTTTATTAATTAAAACACTTAAATAATCTTAGGTGGCAGAAGAAGACTCTTTGTATACCACAATCATCATTTAATTAACAATCTTTTTATTAATTATTGATTAACATTTTGAAATTAAATGCTAATTAATTTAGATGATGTGGCTATCTACTTCAAATGCTACCTAAGAAGGTATACAATTGTAGTATAAAAATATGGTAAGAATAACATTATTGTTTTATAATAGACATAGATGGTTAGGGTTAGGTCCACCCATTGATGTCCTGCAAAATGCAGTATTGTAGCTGTACTCATATGGAAGCGCAAATGGGGCCTTTTAATTTAATGAAAAACGAAGAAAAAAAATTCAAATGCCCTGCATACAACTTTCGTCTGTTTGTTGCTTCACATTGAATTTGTGATTAAATTGGGTGACCAAACAAGACAAAGAAACGATATTCTGAAATGTATGGATGTATGCAATTGCAAACCCTATTAATTAAAGATTGCTAGTATAGTTGAGTGTGGTAGGCCTTAAAAGCTTCTGTCTGTCTGTCTGTCTGTCTCTCTCTCTCTCTCTGTGCTGTCGCTCCAGGAGTGTTAATGAACAGTTTCACAGACTTACAGGCGTGGAGGACCCCTACCAGAAAGCAACCTTTATAGCTTATAGTGCATGCATCATGCATGCATTCAAGCCAAGGTAAAAAAAACTTATATTTGAATGAACGTTTGATCCAGAACATTCATCGTATAACTTTTTCAGTCTAATTTATTAATTTTAAGATCCGATATCTATTGCGAAGTTTTAGATTTCAGCAACCCTCAGAGGATTCGTTCTGGTGTCTCATTCAGGTACCAGAATCACTGTTTGATTTTGACAACTATCTTGATAGTAAGTTAAGGTGAAGGGAGTTATCCTCCTTGTTGCAATTGTCCGTGTTATAGTGACTGTCAACATTGATATTGTTTCCAACCTAACAGTTTAGCTTGTGTGAAGTTTTATACAAAAGACCTCAATGCAATTAGTAGTTGAACATTCAATATATATTGTGTTTGATTTAAGGTGGAACTTTACATTCTTTAGCCTATGCTTCTTGAGGATAAATATGTTAATATATAGCTCAACCACGTGCACCTACATGATTGTACTTAAACTATATCACATGAGAGTGGAATTTATGGTAATTTGCTGTAGACCGCCGATGTCTAACTATCAACTATTTACATACACGCAAAACCAACTAACGTTAGCATTTCTATTCATAAGCACCTTTATTGAGACCTGAAATTCAGTACCAACAAATTTTAAAGCAAAACACCTGATGAGCTGCTTAATGGAGTTTTTTTCCCCTTGTCATACCATACAATATAATGGTCACACCAAAGATCAATTCCAATTTAGTTCTTGTTGACTAGAATAGCAACATCACTTGATCGTTGCGGCACAACAACATAGGAAATCAAACTGTAGGTCGTATTGTTTTCAGTTTGTTACATATTGTTTCTGAAAGAAAAAGCAACACATTAGGTGAAGTGTACTTGTTGCTTTTGCAAATTCTTGTTTGGGATTCAAGGAAGCGTAGTTTTGGTACTTGTTATCAGGTAAATAACAAAACCTACCAATCTATCACATCTACGAGCATTGTTGGAGACAAAATATATTGACAAGCTATTGCGATGTAAAACAATGTTGCACTATATATTCGCCACTGAAGAACACAACTTTCTTAGCTTTAGGTTGTGGGGTTCAAAGTACTTTCTACTCTTCACGCACAGTACTTCTTAAACAACCAAAGCATCACTGTACACTTACTGTATTCAACATATCTTTGGTCCTTTGGATGAACATATTATATTTTGAGAATCGTTTGAACCAAACCAAACAGAATCCTTAATTTGCACTCCAAATATATATATATATATATATATATATATACAACATTGATTTTCAATTTTGTAGTTGGAAAATTTTCTTATTAGTTCAACACCATTTCGGCACCAATGCTAAGTAGGCGCTTAATGATTTCCAAAGTAAAAAACAGCAAAGGATTTCTTTGGTACCAGAAAAGATTATTTGACAATACATGATACATTGTCGATATTTGATCATTGTCTATTTATTTGACATTGTTCAGTTAATATAAACTACATATTGACAATGTACCGTACGATCGAATTAAAGTACCGGAACTTCATAGGGTAATACAACTTCAAATGCCACACTGAAAACATGATAAGGAACCCCTTGGCTAACCAATTTAGATCAAAGACATAGTAACGTCGATGTTGCATGTACAATTAAGCGACCCTTGAAATGACCATTGATGGAAAATAACACAACATCCATTTATAGCAATTTACTCCGAATTTGAAGTTCAAAACCTCCCACCATAATGCAGCTCAATATATATATATATATTAGAAAACTCAGTTTTCACTTCCTTTTGCCAATCATAGTCTAATTCAACCTTCAATAGTATGTCTATCAATGTTTGAGAGGGGAAATTCAGACAAACGTACGCAATAAATTGTTTACCCCATCTGAAAGGGGAAATCAATCAAGGAAAGCGTCCTGAAACTTGGAGCCACACTAGACTCTACAGACATTGCCACACCTAGTCAACGTGACAAAATATTGACATGCCTTCAACTCAACTTTACGTCTACGTGCAATTCCCACACCATGTGGTTCTACACCACTATTTCTAGTTTTGGCTAGGCATAACATTTACAAATCAATCATAAATATATTGTTTCTGGTGAATACTCAATCATAGAGGATGGGTTGTTCACGGAGACAAGCAAGCAAAAGATAAATTGAGAATATAACTTTCACACATTCATTTTCTTCTTCTACATGCTACTGCCGATTTTTCTGCATTGATTTTTCCTTTAACCTAGTCAATTCATAAGTAAAAAATAAACAAGAGTGTGTAGTGAGAAAATAAGAGTATGCGAAAACCACTTCCCTAGATTAATTAATAAACCCAACTCATGATGGGATCTCTCATTCATATTGTTTAAAATAACAAATATACATGATCACCATAATTCTCCCTTCATTAACCAATTTATATGATGGACATATAGTGCAAAGTAACTCTCCTTCCTCTTCTCAAAATATGATTTAATTTCATGATATTATTCTAGTAAATACCTCCTATTGAGGTACAAGATCTAATTAAAGTTTTAAAAAGGAGAAATAGTAATTGCAAAAACCATCTACTATGCAATTACAATAGACCCCACTAATTACATAATGCTACTTTTCTCACCATGTATCTTTCTTCATAGAATGGATGGAAGGTTATATATATAAAAGTAAAAAAAAAAATATTGAAAAAAAGATAAAGAAACTAATTAACTGTTTTTTCTTTTCTTTTTACTACGTTCTATAGTCTATAGAAGTTTGATATACTAATCAATAAAGAGAAGTGGTTGGTTAATTCCCTAACAGCCCCCGAAGTCTCTAATGGAGAAGAAGAAGAAGTCTTGTCGGGCATATTGTTTCCACCACCACCACCAGCGTGACGGAGCCCTAGAGTGAGTGACACGTCACCAGCTGCCGTGGTGGTCCCGAAGCTTATAAGCGTCGTAGAAGAATCGATATTACTACTATTTTGATGATCATGATGAGCTGCAATATTTGCATTAGCCGAGGTGGTCCCGTAACTTCGACCTGTGTCATCGGAAGCTGCGGGGGGGAAGCACTGGTACGCAGGAGGAGCCACCGCAGTGGAGGTGGTGGTGGCCATCATAGGGTGGTGGTGCTGCTGCTGCTGATGCCTATTGATTGCTACGAGTGAAGGGTCGTTTTCAGAGGCATTGATATCGGATCTTTTGCTTGCTGGCGAATTTGTTGTTGTTGTTGTCGTTGTCGTTGTAGGCGTTGGAGTTTGTGCAGCGAGGCCAGCATTGTTGTTACGTTCTCTCTCTTGATCTGCTGCTGCACTAGTAGCTCCTCCTACTCCTCCTTGTCCTACTTCTTCTTCTTCATTGGCTTCTTGCTGGTACATCTCTTCCACCATGGGTTTCCACAACCGAACCCTAGCATTTATGAACCAATTTGAGACCTGCATTCAAAACCAAAACACTTTATTTTTAGGTCATGCATCAAAGTTATAAATAAAAATTAATCCATCTCTCAATTTCATAACAGTCAAACCACGGGTCTACATTATGAGAAGAATTTATATAAAACGAGTTCACCACCAGCGTGTCGTCCGTTTCAGTAAAACATAATAAGTTTCTCAGTACATGCCATTGCCTTATTAAATAGAGAAGCCACGTGGCAATAAATCATTTTATGTAACTTGTTCTCACTACCACTGCTTCTTGATCACTATATATGATGCCAATATCTTGCTTAGAAACTTAGCAAGCATGTGAAATTACAACCCTAAGTGTGGTGGGCAATCTGGCAATAAAAATATTTATTTTGGCAGGATAAGAAAATAAAATTTACATCTTTTTTCTCAATATAAAGTTGAGAGAACAACTATATAACTATAAATTTTGACATGTTATAAGATTTTTGTAACCAATATCATATTTTGGGTTTTCATGCAAACCATGAAAACCACATTTTTTTTGTCAAATAAACCAGATTGAAGTGAAGAAAAAAAAAACATAATAAATGCAAAAGATACTACCACGTAACATTGCTAAAGTTTACGATGTTTAATGACCTAGCTAATGATGAAACAAGAGATGAAGTTGCCATAGTTAATTAAAGATTATGAATAGCTTTGATTTCCTATGACCAATTTAAGTGGGAACATTTATTTTGTCTTTTAACTTAAGGTTCTTAAATGATAAGATGTGGTAGGGAAGGTGTCATTTGGTATGAGTGTGTGTGAGAGAGAGAGCGCGCGAGAGAACCAAAGCTGCAAACTCTCATGTCTCATCTGTTATGTACTTGCATGGCAAAGCCTTTATTGTCTGCTGGTGTGGGGTTGGTTTTCACTGTTATCAGATTATGTCAAGGCGTTAAAAGAATCCACAGTTAAAAGAAGAAAGAAAGAGGCAGAGAAAACGCATTGTCTTTCTTCAATAGAGAAGCGTAGAAGGCCGGATAAATAAAATCCAATCCCATGTAAGTCCTTCTGAACCTACTGCTGGTCCCTTCCCTCCCATCTCGTCTTTCTACCTAGTTACCTATCTTTTCTTTCTTCTTCGTTAGCACGATGGTCTATACATATGCATGTTTATATACAGGAGCCTTTTCATAGCAGGGTTTCCGTTATAATGTGGCAGAAATGAAATGATATTTAAATATCATGTAGGGACAATAAATTTAACTATAATACCCTCGTATATTGAAGAAAAAAATGGACGAAAAAGTGAAATATATGAGGTAATGTCTAGTGAATACATAGTTTGTATAAGAGCATCTTCAAAAGAAGTACCCAGGTTAAATTCGATATGTCACATAGGAAAAATGCATCTTCAACGATCTAGCAACCCAATTAGCTAATTGAAGAATTAGCAACTGACCTTGTAGCAACCCAATTTACAAGGTCAGTTCCTACTTCTTCAAGTTAGCAAATTGGGCCGTGCAATATTTTATTTGAAAGTATTATTTGGTAAAAACTTTGAAAATAATTTTTTTTTTTTTGTCAAACGATAGATTTTTGTTAGATTAGATGTTAAATTAGTTATCAACAGAATTTGAACCCACACCATCATGTAAGGACTCAACACCTTTCTATATTGTAGTAAAGGGTCACTTGCAAGTTTGAAAATAAATTTGAGCTCCATCAAATAAGATAAAGTCAAGTTTTAAACATTTTAAAATGAAAGATGAAATTTGAAGAGTTAATTGGAAAGACAAATTTTTAAAGAAAACTAATGAAAATGGTTTGAAAACTTTGAGTTTTAACTATAATGACAAAATAAAGAGTAAATGAATGATATCATAATGGATTTTTTAGTGTAAAAATATAATTTTTGTTAAAATAAACAGTACGAAAAATTTTTGTTAAAATCCATAATTTTTAAAGTAGCATAAAAGTGTTAAATGGATCAGCAAAGGAAACTTTTAAACATAAGTTTCCTTTTGAGATGCTTTACTTACTGTTCAAGATGAAGCCAAAACTAAAATAATTACCTGATTTCTGGACAGACCAGTCTGTCGAGCCAACAGATGCTTATCAGCATCGCTTGGATACCTGAGAAAGAGACCAGAAAGGAAATGACATCAGAGTCCTTGTCTGAACAGTATAAAGAGTCTCACATCCTCCTCACACCTCTAAGCCAACATGAGGTCAAAAAATATTTCTCCTTTCGCTCTCTGCATGGGCGTGAGAATCTAAGACAAGAAGATATCCAGTCTCGATCGATCGCTACCTAGCTCAGCTCATCTGCGCTGTACCTGGACTGTACCACCACAACAACAAGACGTAACAGACTAGCTACCACGTACAATCTCGTCTCTTTTCTCTTTCTCTCTAGCCTTTTTATACAAGACAATGTGTTTTCTAAGAAAGAGAGAGAGATAATGCTTTAGTGAATTAATGCATTACTTTTTCCCCAGCTTTTGGCTGACCATGCACCATCCCAGGACACTGCGTATAATTACGAACCCCTTTTAACAGTAATCAGAATAGACCTGTACGTAGCTTGACTTAATATTTAACTAATTAATAAAGTGCATGGCAACCCCGCTCTAATGGTACTATCATATATCAAAGACTTACGTTACTTCGACTCGTTTCGACCAAACAAAACATTACTTAGACTAATATAATAATGTTTCAATACTATACTAGTGTTTTGAACCAAAAATCAACCTGATCAACAGTCCAACAGCAGAATAAAAAGCGTATCATGCAAGAGAGCATTTCCATATATGATATCTCTAGTAATGATATCTCGACATAAAACTAACTATGTTGCTGAGGTAGAATCTGATACAGATGTGGCTCACATGGCACATGCTTTTATATTAAAAAATGCATCAGTGTAGTCAATTTTGTGTGTTAAAATATTATTATTATCTTTGATAGAGTGTTTACTTGATTGTGTGCATTAAAATAAGAGTCTCCTAAGTAATAGTTGATGGTCATTTTCACAATTATATATCATAATATGAAGTAAAGCTAAAAGAGTATGGTAAAAGGTAACGCACGGGTGAAGAAAATGCTCAAAAAGCCAGGCTCTCAAGATGTTGACTGAGCGTTCCGGCAGGCCTCGTTGGGGCCTCCAAGCTTCTTGTTCCATCATGCCCATTTGATGAAATGCTCTTTGCTGCCTTAGGCTTTGCTCTAGCAGCTTCAGCCTCGGGGTCTCTCCTTTTGTTATTCCTGAGGTCCCCGCACCATCTTTCTCTCCAATTAGCTCACAGCTGTGCTTCAACTGTGCCGTGATCGCATCCTTTAGGCACCGAAAATGCCGTGACATGGCCTTTTGTGCTAGAGCTGTGTACGGCACCGCTGCTCCGAAACCCATCACCAGATCGAATGCGTTTACCACCATCTGCATTTGTTCGCAGTAGTGATTGTACCTTCGATCCACCTGCAATCATGCACATGTAATCAATATTAACTATACATGTACGTATTCAATGCAAATGTCTGAATTACTATCAAGTCACAATCTCTTGAGGGCTTAAATGTTCACATTTTTAAGAAGTTGGAGTGACTTGATGGCTTGAAATAAATGTAGAAAACAACCAAATAAAAAACAAATAAATTAAATAATGTAAAACGTGCGACATAATTTAAAGATTCATGTTCACGGTTAATTAATCTTCCTCCTCAACCAACAAAAAAGTTTTGACCAAAGAAGGCAACATGTTGATAACTAAGCAACCTTAGAAGCAGATAAGAAGTCTAAATCATGTTAGATTAGAGAAGGTAGTTACGAAGTGTAACAAAAGAAAACGAGAAGATGACTAAAACAAGAAAGATTGAGTACGAGAAAATTAAAACATGAGATATGAGTGCACCAGTCAGATCAAATGAGAGAGAGAGAGAGAGAGAGAGAGAGAGAGAGAGAGGGTCTTCTTATTCTCAGAGTATTATAAGCCTAAAAAAAATTGAGAAGGATGGTTTTGATCTTGATTAAAGAAGAGAACAAATGCATATATCAAATTAGTGGTACAACAAAAAAATTGGTTGGTAATGGCAACTATAAGAATATCTTTGGTATATACAAAATTGACACACTTACTCATCCAATTTATAATAGAACTAAAACGGAAATAAAAACAGGGTCAACTAAGTTATAATATCAATAGATTGCCCAAGAAATTACTATGAACAGTATGATCATAAACTAGAAAGGCACTGATATTCATAACTGCCTTCCTATACGTAATATGATGATGTGAAGCTAAGTATAAACCATTTCGATCATTGAAATATATTATCATTTTAATGTAGTGTTTAAACCATAGACTAGCTACCCTCGACCCTATGAAAGAGAAGAAAAGCCCTACTACACCAGCCGGCTTTTTTACCTATTTTTTTAAAGAAATATATTTTTTTAAATAATTGTAAGTGGCCGGAATTTTATTTGTTTATCCGGTGACTTGGGAGAAAAAAAATTTGGGGTCCTTAATAAAAAAGCAAAAGTCTTTGGAGAGAGAGAGAGAGAGATTACATGCCTCATCAAGCATGGACAATAGTTTGACTTTCCTTCGTTGATGTTCAATCCTATCAGCGGCTGACAACGGAGGCACATCCTTTGATGAAGATGAAGAGGTACCACCGCCACCGCCACCGCCACTAGCTTGATTAGAACTAGGGTTTGTGGTGGTGTTCTGCCTACCACTTGTACTACCACCAAACTTGTTCTTCTTGAGCTGACCCCTCCCTACACTGCAAAACTCTTCCAACAATTCTTGGGCAGCCTTCACATACTTGGAGTTCCTCAACACGTTCACAACTCCGAAGGACGATGACGACCCGAAACTGACGTGATGACCGCCTACAACGCCGCCTTGCTGCAAACTATGCAATGCCTGATGATGATGGGAACCCAAATTCTTATACTGAGGATTAGACCCTTGATGTTGATGATCTCCTTGATTATTGTAATACAGCAAGCCACTCGCACTATCTGATCCCATCCTGAATTCCTCAGCCTTTGCTGCCTCCAAGTGCTGCAAAGAAGTTGATAGAGACAATGAAAGTCCTTGGCCTTCGACAACCCCACCAATTTCACCACCGCCGCCAGCGGTATTGCCTCCTGCTTCATGGCCTTGATGACTCTCAGGGACCCAAGTGAATTGACCAAAGCCCCCTCCACCGGATGCGGCAGCAAACCCTTGGAGTGAATTGGTGGTGGTGGAAGGGTTTGGAAGCAACATGTGAAGGGTGGAAGAAGTGGTGTGAGAAGGAGGAGGAGAAGGCGATCTTGGTTGTGATGGGTTCATTAGAAAAAGCTGCATGGCTGCCGCTGAGTCTGCATTAATTGTTGAAATCTGATGATGGTGCTGATTTTTTGAATCTCCCAATGGTCCCAATCCACCACCACCCACTCTTCCGTACCAGTCAGCCGCAGCAGACACTGCTGCAGCCTGCTGCGGCCGAGGTATCATCCGATAATTGGCTGACATTGGATGCTCTAGCAGTTCGGCGGCCCCAACAGGGCCACCGCCTGGAGGGTAATTGAACATCTCAGACAACATCCCAGCGGTTTCGTATGCTGGGAGGCCACTGGATTCTTCCTCGTTTAGGCCAGCCAGTGGCGGCGGGGGAGGGGTTTCGAAGCCTTGCACCCTCAGCTTTTCCCTCCGGATCTGCTGTGCCAAGTGGTGTTGCTGCTGCTGCTGCTGCTGTTGTTCTTGGTGAGTTGTCATAGCCGATCTCTCGAAGCCATTGGAGAAGGTGAAGATGCCTTGGTGGTAGTCTTGGGACATAGAATTAGGAGGATTGGAGTAGTTTTCTGAATCAATTGAGTGGTGACGGTGATGAAGATTACCCTTTGGTGGCGGTGGTGGGAGTGGCGGTAAAGTTACTATGCCCATATCATAAAACTAGTACTGATCTTCTTCCTCATCATTTTTATCTCTCTCTGCCTCCCCTTGTTGGCTTTATAGTCACTTCCCTCTCCTTTCACACTTGATTTACTGTTCAATTCAGCATGAATTTGTCAGACACAAGCAAATAACAAACAATACCCATCATGGAAGAGTACTTTGAGTACTCATTAATTCATCAAGCTGATTAAATATATCACTATGAGAAGAATTATTATAAACAATATATATATATATATATAGAGAGAGAGAGAGAGAGAGAGAGAGAGAGAGGAGAGAAATGATAAAATGGTTACTACTACCCTTTGTTGTTGGTGTTCTTTTTTAATTTTTGTGTTCTCTTTTCATCTATACTTATCATTTTCAGCTTTGTTCATCATCATCAAGTATATTTATATACATAGATATATATACCTCGAGGAGTTGCAGAGTATGAAAGGATGTAAAGCTCTCAGACATCGTTTTCCCTTCTGTGGTATTGAAAGCTTCTTGAATTCCTCTCTCTCTCTCTCTCTTGTTTGTGTTGTCTCTCTGTCTGTCGTCTCTGTCTTTCTCTTTCTCTCCTTTTCTTTCTCCTTTTTTGCTCTTTGCAGTGATTGTTTATGCAATCACCTTCAACCCTTCTGGAAAAAAAGAGGCGATAGCAAGAGAGGGAGTATATGTTTGCTAATATAAAAATGAAAATGCTGGCTTTCTTTCGGAGACTCCTCACTATTTAATATATCTCTCTCTAATTAACCAATAAACGCAGATATAGCTTATTAGCTCCAAGAGAGAGAAACAAACAAAAAGGAGAAAGAGAAGCAGTCGCTGTTGTTCTTCTTCATCGACTCTTCTTTTCCACACCATTATTTTATATTTATTTATGCTTCTATTCGCCTAATACTTTTTAAAATCATTAATATCATTACATATCAAACCAAGTGGGGAAAAAGAAAAGACATTCTCTCCATATCTCTTATTTTAAAGCTCTCGTATCAAGTGATCTGGATTCTTAAAATTTGATCAAACGACTAAAATTATTATAAATTTTAAAAGAAACCTTTGTTTTTAACTATTAAATCAAAATTTCAAGAATTCAAATCACTTAATTCAAAGGCTTTAATAGAATAGATCTGGAGAGGATCTCTTTCCGGAAAAAAGGATGAAATTAATTCATTTAACTTTTGTTTCCAATGACCCTAATGTCCTCACCTTGGAATGCAGTGGTTGAGGTTACTTTCGTCCACTAAAAAAGTGGAATCATGGTTGTTAGGGAAATTGGTATAAATAATTATTTATCAAATTCTTGTTAAAATGATTTGTTTTTTAATATGTTGTCGGTATTTAATTGATGTATCGACAATATAAGATTATTATGTTGTTGATCATCATGTTATGAAGATTTGATCAATATTTTAAGTTTGATGGGTTTGAGTAATTGAAATTTTATTTTTGATTAGTTTGGCAACTTTCCTTATGTTTTATGTTGATTAGAGTTAGACTATTTTGTCAGAGTATATGTTTTAGGGATGTGTTGTTCACATACTATTTTTTACTTCACATATACATGTTCTATTGCACATAAATTCGAGTCTTCTTTCTTGCAAATTATAGTATATTAAAACATGCTTCAAAAATAAAAAATTAAAAATAAAACACAAATTCTAAGGGTTTTCTAGTTATTTTATGTATTTTTTATATGACTAGAATACCCTTTTTAGATGTCGGCCTACTATTGTCATTTGATTGTTTTTTTGGGGGGGGGGGGGGGGGGGGGGTCGTCTTTTGGAAACCAACGCAAACTACGGAATAAAATAAAGATAAGGTGAGTAGAAAGTCATCTCAACGATCCAAACTACCACCATCCCTTGATATGTCCAAATGACCATGATACCCATGTCAATCATTATCTTGCGTAGGCAAGGATCATTAGTTTGGTAGGAGCATTTTGGTCACTTTGAGTGATAGGCCAATGCATTAATAACCCAACCATAGTAAGACATCGATAGATGCACATACAAAACTGAGTGAAGCAGAAAGTGAACAATGGCACCAGTTTACTATCATATGCTGTCTCGTGCAAAAATATAAAGAAATGTGTCAATATTTTTTACATATTTATGTCTTATTGATACGAAACACTACTATAATAGTAAGCTTGCACTATACAAGTTGTTTCTCTCAAAACAAAGAGGAAGATATCGGTTTTATTAATACAGAAATCGTGCACGCAAAGGATGGGTGGCACGTGCGAGAAGTTGGGTAATTTTGGGTCTGACAATCACACTTAACCGCTTCATGGGATTGGCAATGTCAAGATGGCAAATTCGATTACTGTTTTGGCGTAACCTTGATCTTCACAGGTGTTATCTGTGCTTTATCCTTTTTGGTGTGAAGACTAAAGAGTAGTATTATCATGTCTCATGTACTACATATCTATTCATACATATGTGTGTGTGTGTTGTAATTATTGAATTCTATGTTGAGTTGCGTTATATTTGAAAGCGAAATTTTGAGTAAAAATGTTTCGGAAACCCTAAAATTGGGAACGCCAATACTGATTTGTAAGAAGTGGAATTCCTTAGAGCAACTCTACCGTTGCAAAGGCCCCCTTAGGGAAAGTCACTATTGAATAGCCTCCAATGAACAGTAACTGCCTTTTGCATCTCCATCCCTACACTGAATAGTCCTAGCAATAGGCAATAAAATATTAGTATTTTTTATTTTATAAAATAATACAAAATAATTTTATTTGTAATTTCGGATATGATTTTTAATCGGTCTCGTTGTACCACGTGTCATTAAATAAGAAATTACAACCCAAAGTATTTGAGAAAATATAAATTATGGTGTAAGTTGGAAGATAATGATACATATTTATAGAAAAATTAATTTTTTTTTTCGGATTTTTTTATTAATTTTTTACTTTTTTTATAATTAATTTTTTACATTTTTATTAATATTTTATATTTTTATTAATTTTATATTGTGGTTGACATCAGCCATTCATCACTTGGGCCTCAGGCTCTCAGGCTGTGGATTCGCGCCTGGCCTGTCCACCAGGCTTTCCCCTAACCCCATTGCCTGCATGGGCTGGAACTGATTGCTGGGGCTGCTGGAACTGATTGCTGGGGCTATTGCCTCATTTCTGTCGCCTGTCCATCGTGCCAAATACACCGGTGGACTTGCTCTTAGAAGGAGATAGAAAATAGAAAAGGGTGAATCGAAATCAACATTTTTTCAACCAAAACGGGCCTCGAATTGTTAACGATGAAAAGTCAAATTTATTTCCTGCAAGGGTATTTCAATAATCAAGTTAGTTCTAATTCTGATTTTTTATTTAATAAACACTTTGTTAGAATTTAGCCTTATTTATTACGCTTTTTAGTTAAAATGGTCTCTAAGATTGGTATAACTCTTCACTTTGATCCTTGAGATTTTAAATTGATAGAAGTGGTCCTTGAGTTTGTCCACTGTCAATCATTTTGGTCATTCTGTGAAAAACCTCTGTAAATAAAGAGAAAATGACAAAAATACCCTCAATTTAATTAGCAATGAGCCAAAATGATTTGACAAATATTGAGGGTGTTTTTGTCATTTTCTCCTTATTTAACAGATTTTTCATGGAAGGACCAAAGCGGTTGATGGTGGACAAACTCAATGATCAATTTTATCAAATTTAAATCTCGAGGACCAAAGTGAGGAGTTATGCCACTCACATGGACCATTTTGGCTAAAATGTCTCCTTATTATTCTGATTTTTGATAAAATAGTAAACACTTTAATGAGAATCATGTTTCCCCTTCATGCTTACTCTAATTATTTCGTAGTAAATATACTCTTACATTATGTTTGGATGAAGGAAATAAACTTGGAATTTGGGTAGAAGTAGGAATTTATAAATTGGCATACACCAATTCCCTTGTTTGGATTCATAAACATAGAAATTTAGAATTTTAGAGTAAAAACAAAAAAAAGGAATTTGGGACCTTCAATTCCCAAGTTTAAATTCCATGTAAATATGTGTCATTTCTCAATTTCTATGATTAAGAGTTTAAAAATAACAAATTCCGTATTTTAGGTTAACCAAACAAGAAAATTTACAAATTCTAGAAAATAAAATCCCATCATTTCAATTTCTATCATTTTAAAATTCTTTAGTAATCTTAAATTTCTTTATCCAAACATAATGTTACTTCATTATTTCGATTTCATAACTAACCAATGTCAAAAGGAAAATTCATTACTTTTTTAAGATGTAGCATTATTATTATTCCGATTTCGGAAGCTTTCCGCTGATCACAGACTCAGTAGTATAGGCACCACCGTCAGGGTAAGCCATTGCGATTCCAACTCCACCGATATCTTAAATGTCATCATTGATCGTGGAAGGGATTTCAGGGGTTTGGGGATAAGTTCACGAGCTAAGGCAAACCTGTAAAATCTATTTTTCAATAACTGATGGATGATTACTAATGACATTTTGAGTAAGTTTCGTGCGTAATTTTAATCAATACGTGAATTTAAAAATACATAGTGAGTCTTTAAGCAAGGATGTGCCTTCAGTACATTAGAGACAAAAATATATATCTACAATGATTCTCTTTCCAACTTCCAGATTCAACAAACGATCCCATAGAATACTTTTTTTGTTGTCCTATATGTGGTGTCCTTCTTTAGGCATGTATTCATTACATAAAACTTGAACAGTTTGATAGAGAGATGTTCTAGTCGTTTAGAACATGTTTGCATGTTGGTGAAACCAATAAGTTATAAATTTCTTTCAATAGCAACTTAGCAAAGCATGCGGTTTTAATTTGGCATGTGAGGGTGCTTTTCGTCTGATGTTGCCATCCAAAACGTGTGTTTATTTCGGCTAATTTTTCTTTTTACTGACCAAAATCTTATTATAATCCGAAATCCAATATCTTTGTTTCCTTTATCCTGGGAGTTCTGTTCCCAATGATTTTCCATGCGTATGATTAATCAGTTCATGCTAAAAGTGATGACTAAACTTTAAATTAGACAGATACGCCAAAGCTATTACGAAGCTAGCTAAATGTAGTAATGCTAGGGAGACTATCTGTTTAAATTAAATTTTGTGAATCATATGAAATAGTTGTTGATGATTAGATTATTACTTAAATATTGATTAATATGTTTATTTTCTATTAGTAGCATATCACATAATTTGTAAATTTAGTCTAAAAAATTAGACTATGAGCATTAATAGGCTATTTTTTTTTTTTTCAAAAACACTGCACTTATCACAATATTTTATCGTTTTCGATAAATAAGATAAAGGTGATTAGTATTCTTTCTCACGCAAAACACACAGACTCTGCTTTAATATAAGAAATGGGAGTAAGAAAGTACATCTCCACTCATTTGACTTCATTAATTTTGGCCAAAAATAAAATAAAGAGAAGAAGAAGAACTTAGATTTTGAATATCAAAGCTGTTGTCTTTTACGTGCAGCACAACAATCTGAAGAGCTACTTTCTGAATGCTTATTTGAGAGTGTTTTTATTGAAGTGATTTTATTCATTAGTGTTTTTGGTAATTTAAAAGTTTAATTAAAAATCCTTTAAGTTATTTTGGCCCTCTCATAAGTCATAACAACTCTCAAACGATGTTTATCAATTAAACTCAGGGCACACAGAAGTTTTATAGTGATTGGATTGCGCCAAAAATTTTGATTTCAAAGTTGGGACATTTTTAATCTACTTGATCAATTACTTAAAGGGAATTGTTATTAGCACTCCAAAAATCTCATTCTACACTCCAAACTTTCTATATTGGGAAAGAAAAATACATTTATAAGAAGTGTAGAA